AAATGATCACAATATGTTGGGAATTGATTTCTCTACTGAAGTCACCATTCAAGTGTAAAGGAATTTAATTTTTCTAACAGATTGGGATAATTTGAAAAGCTTATCAAAAATTCTTAAATCAAGACCGATTTTCAACCAATTGACATTGATAATGCAAATTAAATATAATACTAAATGACACTTCTAACACACATGACAACCATACTATTTATATTTGAATTTTGTTAAGATAGAGAGTTTTGTATGGATGCAGAACATTTTAAGAGCCAATGTGTGGCCAACAGCCGGTCACTGTTAGTCTGGATCAGAAAATGGCAAATTATCACTTACTTGTAACCGATGTTCTCCATTCTTTGACGTTAAATCCCGCAGCTTGACAGGTGGACACGTAGCTGCCGATGGCACTTGTGAAAGCAAAAGTTTGACCTTGAAAATGACAAGCATCAAAAACACAGTCATTGAAATACATCACCGGATCAATCGAAGCATGGCAGCCGGAAAATGGGCCATCGGCCTTTTTAATGATTCCACAAAACTCATCAGCCTGGTACTTGGTTTTATCCTGGTCTGAGCATGTTGGGCAATCTCCTTCACATTGTTTGGTACACCCTGGGACTTCTCCCACCATCCAGCTATTACCAAACTCTACCGGGTCATCGTTTCTCTCACCATTGCTCATAGTGAAGTCGTCATTTGGGTCTTGATTGTTGTTTCCACACAAACCGCTGACTGAGTTGGCGTAGCTGTTAGGGAGAATAACCCTACCGTAGCTGTTCCAGTCATACGTCACAGTCAGACCAAACTCTGTCTTAATGAATCCATGGACGCCCTTAATGAAAGCTGTTATTTTGTTGTTTTCAAAGGAAAACGGAAGTTGGGTTTGGATACCATTCACCTATAACACAAAAACAAGCATTATTAATATGTTTTATATAATGCACATTTCTATCTGTAATTGATTAATTACTTTGACAAATAACACAATACCAAAAAAAACACTTTTACACTCCTGACACCTTGAAAAACATGTTGCCAAACAAGGACAATTTGTTAGAGTCCAAGTGATACATAAATAGCCGAGCTGATATAAAAGGGTTAGTAATTAGCTATATCCCAGATATACAGGGTTAGTACAGAGCTATATCCCAGATATACAGGGTTAGTAAATAGCTATATCCCAGATATACAGGGTTAGTAAATAGCTGTATCCCATATATACAGGGTTAGTACACAGCTGTATCCCAGATATACAGGGTTAGTAAATAGCTATATCCCAGATATACAGGGTTAATAAATAGCTGTATCCCAGATATACAGGGTTAGTAAATAGCTATATCCCAGATATACAGGGTTAGTACACAGCTGTATCCCAGATATACAGGGTTAGTAAATAGCTGTATCCCAGATATACAGGGTTAGTACACAGCTGTATCCCAGATATACAGGGTTAGTAAATAGCTATATCCCAGATATACAGGGTTAATAAATAGCTGTATCCCAGATATACAGGGTTAGTAAATAGCTATATCCCAGATATACAGGGTTAGTAAATAGCTATATCCCAGATATACAGGGTTAGTAAATAGCTGTATCCCAGATATACAGGGTTAGTAAATAGCTATATCCCAGATATACAGGGTTAGTAAATAGCTATATCCCAGATATACAGGGTTAATAAATAGCTGTATCCCAGATATACAGGGTTAGTAAATAGCTGTATACCAGATATACAGGGTTAGTAAATAGCTATATACCAGATATACAGGGTTAATAAAGAGCTATATCCCAGATATACAGGGTTAGTAAATAGCTGTATCCCAGATATACAGGGTTAGTAAATAGCTGTATCCCAGATATACAGGGTTAGTAAATAGCTGTATCCCAGATATACAGAGTTAGTAAAGAGCTATATCCCAGCTATACAGGGTTGGTAAATAGTTATATCCCATTGAATACAAAGTTAGGTATTTGTGCTTATTACTGTTTTAACATAGCTTTTTGCTCCCAGGCATTGCAGCCAATTCTTACCAGAAGTTTTCTTGGATAGTCTTTGCTAATGACGATAGTTTGATTAAAAACTTTAAATGTAACCTCCTTAGTAAATGAAACAACTCGATTGCCACGGTTGTTATTTTGAACTGTGACTGTAAAGGGTGTTAACGAGGGATCCGTTGAGGTGACTTTCACCAGTTGATAGATGCACGTGCCCATGAAATCAAATTTGTTTCCATCAAAGGTAATGTAATGGGGGTCTCCCAAGAATGTACAGGTTGAATAGCCAGATGGGTAGCAGCCACGTTTTCCATCAACAACTGAACACCTCTCGTTCGACTTGCACTTCTTCTCTTGGCAAACCACTTTACCAGAGGCTGGATCGCACATACAATATGAGCTGCAGCTCTCGTCAGACCAATAGCCTTCGTTTGGTTCATAATAGAAACCATTGTAGTTGCAGCCACAGCTAGTCGCAGGCATGCACTTGCCGCCACTGAGAATGAATCCAGTGTTACATTGACAGGTCTCCACGCATGGTTCCGTGCAGCTCTCTTGAGACGTACGGTCTGCACAGCTTGCCGGACACCCAGTACCACACGCTTCATAATGGCTGTTCTGAGGACATTCCATGGCTACGAGCAAAAATTTAAAATAACAAGAAATTCATGTATCATGTTTGTTATTTCCACCTGAGGTAGTACATATAGGCCTTACTTCATATTGGCCTCGATTTAATATGCTTTCCAATTGATTCAAAACCTGTTAGAAAATGTTCTAAATGATTTATCTACAGAAGTCCATGTGAATGGGAATATTCATAGATACATCATTTGGAAATTTTTTGTCACACTATTGAAGCATTTGGAAATATTATTAAATCAAGGCCTAAGAGTTTAATTTCATCACTGGTTACATTCTTGGAATTCTACAAACACATTTGAGAATGCACAAAAGTTAGTAATGAATATGATACTCAGAAGAGAATCGGCAGCATAATATAAAACAGGTTTCATGTTTGTAAAAAGACAAATATTACATTTATAGGGGAAAAAAACGTGTATTTTCCAATTTTGCTTTTTCTTTTTTAAATAAAGTCCAGCTCAACTTTGAAAGACTTTGGCCAACAGATAAGTAAATACAGCATTTGCATAAAAAGATTCCCTTAAATATAATAAACCATGTTCTAAGCTAATGTTATGAAAGGAAGAACATCTGTTATATTATTTTTAAATCCTAGTGTGGATATTGTTGTGGAGAAATAGCAGTAATTTGTGAATATATTTACATCCCAGGTAACTTTAGGCCATGTTGTGTAACAGATTGCATTAAAAAGGAAAACTGCACTCATTTATGCAGTAAACTATTTTATAACCTTATACGAGTATTGTATGCAGTAAACAAGCACTACCTTCACTGATAAAACTAGCTTTTCCTGTCTAGGGAGCTGAAGCAGAGAGGCAGACTCCCAGCACGTCCTGCGTTCTGTTTCGATTCTCGCATGATGCAGCTTGTTATTGGCTGCTAGAATTGAGCGAACACCTGGATGTTCGGGTCTGGCGGGTTCGGCTGAACTTTGAAAAAAGTCCGGGTTCGGGCTCATACTTGACCCTGAACTTGACCCCGAACCCCATTGAAGTCAATGGGGACCCGAACTTTTGGCCACAAAAATGCCTCTAAAAAACTCCTGGAAAGGGCTAGAGAGCTGCAAAAGCAAGTAAAATGGGGGTAAGAGTAGGACAAGTGCCCTGCAAACAAATGTGGATAGGAAAATCACTTAAAATAACATAAAATTAAAAATACAGCTGAGCCATAAAATAGCACTAGATGGGATCTTTGATTTTAGCTTTGGAAGAACATAAATCAAAATCTAAAGCATGGCTGTCAGGAGGATCACCAGAATTATCCATTGTAGAGAGGGTTGGAGTGCAGGGTATTCTCTTTCATTGTTCAAACTGAGCTCAACTCCTGATGCATGGAGAAAAGGCCTTTACAAGCCTCTGCTATTGTGTACATAGTTTATATAAGTGACCCATAGGTTGAGGAGGCGGTGACCGTGGTGGTGTAGGTGGAAGCGGCGGTGGAGGAGGAGGATTAGGTAGCCAACACTGTTTTTTATGTTTGTTTGTTTTTTTATTTGTGGTAGCCCACAAAATATTGGGACATACAAAAAAAGAAACATTTGCGGCCTGCGGTGCATTTCTTGCAGTCCTGATGCATGGAGAAATGCTCAACTCCTGATGCATGGAGAAAAGGCCTTCACAAGCCTCTGCTAATGTGTACCTAGTTTATACTAAGTGACCCATAGGTTGAGGAGGTGGTGACCGTGGTGGTGTAGGTGGAAGCAGCGGTGGAGGAGGAGGATGAGGTAGCCAACACTGTTTTATATATATATATATATATATATATATAAATCAAGGAAAAGAGTAAGCGCTGAATAACAGTAGAGCTGCAACCTATAAAGGGAATCCCTCAAACAACCCTCAGATACAATTAGGATAAAAAACAAACAGAGATAAAGGTTGCGCTAAGATAGACCAATATAAATATAAATATAAAAATAAAAGTCTTAGCTGAAAGGATCTTCTTTAGATTAAATAGTCTTTAAAGTGCTGGTTCAGGAAGGTGCTTGTTCAGGGGTAATGTCCTTGCTGTCCCTCCCCAGAGAAGTTCAATATTATGAAATGATAAAACAGATACAGGAACCAAAATAGTGTAGTACGTCCAATTTGGTACAGGAAATAGAAAGAAGAAAGGTAATGCACTCACAAGTCATAGAGCTATAACTAGTTCTTAGTATGAAAGGCGTACAGCGGTATGATCCCCACTTATAGGATATGGAGTAGACTTCTTCTTCCAAGGGTATGTTCCACACTCAAATAGAAATAAAAAGGAGAGACGACCAATAGTGCTCACTGAATAAAATAAATTAAATAAATAAAAAGGTACTCATAAGAGTGGAGCAGACAAACTGCTCCTTGACGACAGCGTTGGTGGTATGATCCCCACCTCAGGATTAACAAATATTGTTTCCACAAACACGTTTCACCAACAAGGCTTCTTCAATATGGAATTAAAAGTATATATATATATATATATATTTTTTTTTTTTAAATTGGGGTAGCCCCCAAAATATTGGGACATATAAAAAAAGACAACTCTGTTCCGCAGAGTAGCTGTTGACATTATAGTTGCGCAGGCACTTTTTTGACTTTAGAGAACCTCGGGCCAATCGCACATCCCCGAGCCGGTGATTTTGCATACGGATGTCATCCATAGCAACTCTCGATGCCAGGTTCTGTGCCTACCATGGTGACCACGGGTAACGGGGAATCAGGGTTCCATTCCATACAGGGACCCTGAGAAATGGCTACCACATGCAAGGAAGGCAGCAGGCGCGCAAATGACCCACTCCCGACGCAGGAAGGTAGTGACGACATATAACAATACAGGACTCTTTAGAGGCCCTGTAATTGTAATGAGTCCACTTGAAATCCTTTAACTCTGATACAATTGGAGGGAAGTCTGGTGCAGAGCCACTGACCCGTGCGTGCTGCAGCTGAAACTCCACTATCGCCTGCTGCTGCTCGCACAGTCTCATGAGGCGGTGAGCGGGAAGGCCGAAGTTACGCTGCAGCGCAGACAGGCGAGCAGCAGCACGGTCACAAAAAAGTTGTGGATCAGTCTGGTGATGGCTTCTGGTATCCAGTACTCTGTTTACTGAAGCTGCATCAGGGTCCTGGTATGTTGCTGCACAAACGCTGGTGCTCAACACCAGGGGGCGTGTGGTTACCTTGGACCAGACCCTGCTAATCCATTCCACACTGTGACTCCTAACTTCAACATCAGGCATACTGGGTCCTGGTCGTCCGATCGCCGCCCAGACAATGTCTGAGTCCTGGTCGCCGGACTGCCCACCTGACTGTGAAACTACAAATGCATCATTAAATCTGCTACAAACCCGAACTTTGCAGTTCGGGTTCGCTCAACTCTATTATGGATCCTTTTATCACTACATGTATTACTTGGATAACTGGTAATTCTCGAGCTAATACATGCCGACAAGCGCTAGGGGACGGCCGCACCCTTTTGTGTGACCAGCGCCTCTTCCTCAAAACTGCACACGTCACTTGAATGACCTTGATTCCATGTGGGGTCTAGGACCTCATCATCCTCCACATCATCTTCCACCCACTCCTCAACCCTGCCCTCCTTGCCGGTATGCACACTGCAGAAAGCCACAGCAGTTGGCACCTGTGTTTTTCCAGCATGTAAAGTCTGCAAAGGACATATGGAAATTGTTTTAGAATTGTATCCAGGCAAAAGTTTTCCCTATAAACTGATCTCTCAGTTTGACTTGTGAGGGTATTGCCCCAGAATTACAATATTGTTTAAGTACCTCTTAGCTATTGATCACTGGTTTAAATATAGCAGCTTGTTATCTGGTAGTTTCTAGTGCAGAAAATATCAATCTGTTTTCTGTCACTTAGATCTGTGTAACAAGTGTTGTAGGTGTGAAACAATATTACAAGTGACCGATGTAGTACATTTGAATCAAAGTTACGCTTCGATTTGACTCTCAGATATGAAGTGAACACCCCAAATATACTATTTAGCATCAAAATAAAAAAAAATTACTTTTTAAAACTCCAATGTAAGCAGCAGATTAGCAGCAAAACAATTAGAATGTTTACAACTCCCGTTGTGCTGAACGCTCCTGGAGAAATTCCCGCACCCAGGCAGACTTTCTCCATTATAGATTCATGTTGCGTTCATACAGCGCAGCCCTTGCCCTCGCCAAACAGTCATACTTTTCCTCTCTCATTAGTTCATGCTCCCGCAATCCCAGACGTCTCTTTGACACCTTTAACTCACTTCTGCACCCTGCTGCGGCCACCCCTCAAACTAACCTTACAGCTGATAGCTTTGCATGCTACTTTACCAACAAGATTGAACAGCTAAGGAAACAATTCTCCACCTCCTTGCCGTTCTCTTTCTCAACCACACATAAATCATGCCTTCCCTACCCTTCAGACTTTCTCCCCGGCTACTGAACAAGAGGTGGCTGCGCTTCTCCATTCCTCTCGCCCCACCACTTGCCCGCTCGATCCTGTCCCATCCCACCTCATCAGATCTCTCTCCCCTTGTCTTGTGCATACCCTAACAAACATCTTTAACTGCTCTCTCTCTTCTGGCACTGTTCCTGCTGACCTTAAACATGCCACTGTAGTACCTATCCTGAAAAAACAATCTCTTGACCCATCCTTCCCCTCTAACTATCGTCCAATATCCCTGCTCCCTTTCTCATCAAAGCTTTTGGAAAGACTTGTCTTTACCAGTGTGTCTCGCTTCCTCAATTCCAACTCTCTCCTTGACCCTCTTAAGTCTGGCTTCCGCCCTCTCCACTCTACTGAGACTGCTCTCATCAAAGTCACTAATGACCTAATCACAGCTAAATCCAAAGGTCACTACTCCATATTAATTCTCCTTGACCTCTCTGCTGCCTTTGACACCGTTGATCATGCTCTCCTCCTTCAAACTCTTCAATCGCTCGGTCTCTGTGACTCTGTCCTCTCTTGGTTTTCCTCCTATCTCTCCCAACACTCATTCAGTGTCTCCTTTTCCAAGCATACCACCTCCCCTCATCCTCTCTCGGTTGGAGTTCCCCAAGGCTCTGTCCTTGGTCCCCTTCTATTTTCTCTTTATACTGCCTCTCTTGGCAAGCTGATTGGTCTCCCCAAAAGCTGTATTGCCCCACTACAGTCTGTAATTAATGCTGCAGCTAGACTGATTTTCCTCTCTAGTCAGTCCTCTCACACATCACCCCTGTGCCAGTCCTTACATTGACTCCCTGTATCCTATAGGTGTCAATTCAAAGTGCTAACCCATACATTTAAAGCACTGAACAATTCTAGCCCCTTTTATATCTCCTCAATGATCCATAGGTATGCCCCTCCTCGTTCCCTCTGCTCTGCACGTGACCACCTCCTGACCGCTGTTTGCACCCGTACAGCCAACTCGCGCTTGCAGGACCTCTCGTGGGTGGCTCCTTTCCTATGGAATAGCCTGCCTACCGCCATCAGACTCTCCCCTAGTCTTTTTTCATTTTAGAAGAGCTTTAAAACCCATCTCTTCAGGAAAGCTTATTGCCTCCCAGAGTAACCTCTACCTTACATACCTGTCTCTTGGTCTCTCTACCCTCTCCTCCAGCTCTGCTTCACTCCCACCCTATTTGATTGATATTTCCTGTCCTAACGTGTCTTACACCCCACCTCCTATAGACTGTAAGCTCGTTTGAGCAGGGTCCTCTTCAACCTATCGTTTCTGTAAGTTTTCTTGTAATTGTCCTATTTATAGTTAAATCCCCCCTCTCATAATATTGTAAAGCACTACGGAATCTGTTGGCGCTATATAAATGGCAATAATAATAATAACTGCGCTGTAAGCACACTATTAGACGCTTCGATTTGACTCTCAGATATGAAGTGCACCCCACTAAAATACTATTTAGTAGTTTAGGACCCAAAATATTGTAAGTTTTAAAACTGCAATGTGACAGCAGTATTTGACGATTCTATTTGACTCTCAGATATGAAGTGCCCCCCACTAATGTACTATCCCACTAATGTTCTATTTAGCACCCAAAAAAATAACTTTTTAAAACTCCGATGTAACCGCAGTATTTGACGCTTCTATTTGACTCTCAGATATGAAGTGCACCCCACTAATGTACTAGTTTGCAGAATTCTTTCCTAAGCTGTCCTTCACAGCGGCAGCATCCTCTCCCTACACTTATAAGACTGCATGTGCGTGCAGCGCTACGCGACTACAGTTTATATATAGAGTCTGGGTTACATGCTGCACTGGCCAATCACAGCCATGCCATTAGTAGGCATGGCTGTGGTGGCTTCTAAGGGCACACGAGTCAAACGCTTGTCGATTGACTGCCCTGCAACTTTTGAAAACGCGCCATTAAATCGCCGAACACCGAACTCCAACCCGAACATACAGTGATATGTCCGTGTTCGGGTCCGGGGTCCAAAACACCTAATGTTCGGTACGAACCCGAACTTTACAGTTCGGGTTCGCTCAGCTCTATTGGCTGCTAGTTTGTGCTAATTGTGAAGATTGACAACAGTCATTGAATTATGCAATTTGATTGGCGGCTCACGCAGAGCAATGCCGTGCCATCTTTAATTCCCTAAAAACACTGCACTGTTTAGTTATAAGCTATTGCATCTATTATCATTTAACATACAAATGACCACGATTTTCCTTTAAAGATATTATGCATGAAGAGCAGAGTTTGCCCTAAGTTCAAGATGGATATTTTTAAGAATGTCATGTTCTTCTCTAATTGTGATTTTCTTTGCAACATTGATGAGTGCCAGACTATGCACAATGCAATTCCCCCTAGATTATTAAGACAAGTGCAGCTCAGCTCTCATTTGTACACAGGATTTTTTATGATCAATATGTTTTTATATAAAATGTCTGCAAGCTTCCTTAAACTATACAACAGATTTAGGTAACGGGCAAGTGGACTTCGACTGAGAAATGAAATGCTGCATAATATATTCAATATCTGTCTTAGTAGTGTAGATTGGATTAGCCGTATTAGTCCAGTAGACAAGATGCCAAAATCCCAGAGTATTGCAGTATGCAAAGATACCTTAATAATGACTCTCCTCTGTTTATTTACTTTTTCTGGCTATTCTCAGCCAACCAGCACCTTTCACTTTCAGACACATCTTCTGCTATTTATGACACCCAACTCAGCCCCCTCCCTCCCCTTCTCTAACATCAGTTGTTTTAAGTGTTTAACTCTATCAGATTGATCAGTATTGCTTCGGACTTGAGGAATAGAGGAAAACTCTCTAAAACTTGTCTTTGAAATATTGTGTTAGTCCAATAAAAAAGGTATCATTGCATACTGCAATACTCTGGGATTGCGGCATAATATATTCAGTTATATTGTTAGACTGGGTGTCAGGCTCACACCTAATTGCAACTAATTCGAATTCCACGTTTCCTGAGAAATAAGGGATAATTTGGGGATATTTAGAGAAGTTTGGTGTATACAGAATTTACCCATGTTTATGATGTAGCCATTGTTCTCATGCATCGTACTTGAATGTTTTGCTAATGTGATGGCGCTTTCGATTTCCAGAAAGATTGCAAACACAAAAAGATAATTTTTAAAAAGGTGACAGAATATACCCCATATTTTACAGGAACACAACTATCGCCCACAATTTGTTTGGGAAACTTATGTATTTTCATTATTAGTCCTGTACTTACGACAGGATGTCTTTTCCCTCCAGGATGAAACATCAAGACCTTGTGTTCTGCATTCGGCAGCATAGGCTTCGAGAGCACGGCACAGGAATAGTCTGGCTCCTCCATTCATGCAGACGTCAAAGACACAATTGTTAAAGAAGTTCTCTGTATCTATTGCTGGATGGCATTTGGAAAAAGGACCATTGTCTTTCGTTAACATTCCACATGACGTTTCGCCTGCATATTTGCTTTTTTCCTTTTCATCACATGTTGGGCATTTACCGACACATGCGTCTGTGCAAAATGGGTCTTTATCATTGCCTTT